AAAAAAAAAAAGCAATTTTTAAAAATTAGCAAAAATGTTTTTTTCTGAAAAGATAAAATCAACAAACCTTTAGCCAGACTAACAATAAAGAGAGAAGATGAAAAGTCAGTGATGAAAAGGGGGACATTACAACTGATACCACAGAAACACAAAGGATCATAACAGCCTCATGAATAACAAGTATATGACAACAAGTTTGAAAACATGAAAGAAAAGGATAAATGGACACATACAACACCCCAAGGTTAAATTATGAAGAAACAGAAAACCTGAACATAGGAAAAGCAAGTGAGAAAATTGAATCAGTAATAAAAAGTCTTGCATCACAGAAAAGCCCTTGACCCAATGGCTTCATTGTTAAATTCTATCAGATATTTAAAGAAAAGCTAATATCAATTCTCCTCAAACTATTCCAGAAAATTGAGGGAAGGGGAATAGTTCCAAATGCATTTTACAAGGCCAGCATTATAGCGATTCCAGGGCACACACAAAAAACAAAACTATAGGCCAATATCCCAACATAGATGTAAAAATTCTTAACAAGGTACTGGAAGACCAAATTCAACAGCACATTAAAAATATCATTCATTATGATCAAGTGAGATTTATCCCAGGCACGCAAAGATGGTTCAACAAATGCATTTCAATACATGTGAAATATCACATTAACAGAAAGACAAAAACCATATGATCACTTAATTAAATGCTGAAAAAGCATTTGACAAAATTCAATATCCCTTCAAAATAGAAACTCTCAACAAATTAGGCACAGAATATATGTACCTCAATTCAACAAAGGCCATGTATGACAAGCCCACAGCTAACATAATGCTGAATGGGGAAAAGCTGAAAGCTTTTCCTCTAAGATCAGGAATAAGACAAGGATGCCCACTTTCACCACTTCTATTCCACATAGTACTGGAAGTCCTGACCAGAACAATTAAGCAAGAGAAAAAATAAAAGGCATTCATATTGGAAAGGAGGAAGTCAAATTGTTCATACATGCAGATGACATAATCTTATACCTGTAACTAGAAAATCTCAAGGACCTCACAAAAAAAACTATTAGAACTAATAAATGAACTCAATAAAATGGCAGGATGAAAAATCCAAATACAAAAATAAATATCATTGCTATACAAGGAAGGAAAAAAGAAAGGAAGGGAAGGGAAGGGAGGGAAAGGGAGGGGAGGGGAGGGAAAAATAAAGAAAGAGACAGAGAAAAACAAACAAACAAACATAGGAATAAACCGAACCAAGGAGGTGAAAGATCTCTACACTGGAAACTATAAAACATTGATAAAAGAAATTAAAGAGGACAAAAATAAATACAAAAATGTTCCATGTTCAGAGATTGGAGGAATATTGTTAAAATAGTCATAAAATACCCAAGGCAATCTACAGATTTAATGCAATCTCTATCAAAACACCAATGATATTCTTCACCAAAATATAAAAAACAATTCTAAAATGTATATGGGATCACAAAAATTTCCCAATAGCCAAAGCTATCCTGAGTAAACCTGGAGGCATCACACTATTTGACTTTAAAATATACTATTAATACAAAGCTATAGTAACCAAAACAGCCTGGTATTGGCATAAAAACAGACTCAGAACAATGGCACAGAACAGAGGAAGGAAGGAAGGAAAGGAGAGAGGGAGGGAGGGAGGGAGGGAGGGAGGAAGGAAGGAAAGAGGGAAACGAGGGAGGCAGGGAGGGAGGGAGGCAGGGAAGGAGCCAGGGAGCCAGGAAGACATACACTCTGCACGGTGTGTACTTGGCCTGCATATGGCTATCTCCTGGCCCCTCATCCATGGAATCACAGGCTGGAATCCACCCATGAGAAGTGTGAATGCCTCTGCACTCTCCGCCACTCTCCCACAAGATAATATTTAACCTTGTTGTCACCACAGGGCAGCCCTGAAGCTCCATTTGGGCACTTTCAAGAGTGGGAACCCTGTATCTTCCAGGCCGACTCTGCTATCTTGCTGAGTCAGCCAGGCTCTGTGGAAACGCGTGTGCTTTGGAGCCAAGAAGACCATGAGAGTGAGTCCCAGCTCCACCAAGCTCAGGCTGTGTGACTATGGGCGAGCTGCACCCCTCTCTGGGTCTTACTCTTCTCGTCCTGAAAGTGGATTCAACGTCTGCCTTCCAGGGCACTGTGTGGATGGGATACAATGAGAGTCAAGTGCTTGGCCCAGTCTCAGGCCCAAAGAGTAGTGCTTCTTTTCTCAATTTTTTTCCCTGCTTTTGGACAGCAATGACAAAATTAAGATATTTTCCCTTTTGCAGAACTGAAAGGGGATTGTCACTGGTTGTGTTTCTACCTTCTCAGAGCCTGGACCCTGTCTGCTCCTCTGTCCCCAGAGTATCTGGTAAGCAGTAGCAACCTCTCCCATTCCCTACAGGCTCTGCCTTCCATCCCCCAGCCCTAGTCCAGTGCCACACATGGCCGTGCTTAGCCGGGCTGGCATCACTGGCCTCCTGCTAGGGCTTAAAGTGCCAAGGACTCCACTGCCTTTGGGCCCCTGATCATACAGTGAATTGCAGTCCCCCACCTGGTTAACCAGTAGCCAGAGCAGCCGCCCACGCCTGGCCCCATGACCAGTCTTACCCTTCCCTACCGCAGGAAGACTGACCCAGAGGCCAGGACCTTTGCCCAGCATGGCCCAGGTGCCCTCCCGAGCCACCAGCTTCCTTTGAAGCCCTCATGAAGAGGCCCAGGCAGGAAAATCTGCTTTGAGTCCATCCCAGCTCTGCTGCTAAGCGCTGTGGCTCCTTAGGCTCAGGGGACCCATGGGTCTCAGTTTGCTCACTTCTGAATTGACAGGATCGGCTGCTTGCAACATGGCTCGGTGTCACAGCCACCAGTCCACTGTTTGGAACTAACTTATCATAGGTCTGTGTCTGCCACTGGATGGGCAGCTCCTCAAGGGCAGAGGCCCTTCTCATTCAACTCCGTGTACCAGCTCCTGTCCATACCTCTGGCCACAGTTGGCACTCACTGATGTTTCCTAAATGAGTAAATGGAAAGTTAACGTCCCTCAAGGGTCTACTATGTGCCAGGCTATGTTTTAAACATTTAGTATATTTACTACTTCAGTTCATCCTCACAATAGCCTTATGGGAAAGGCACATTATCACTCCATTTCACAGCTGAGAAAATTGAGACACCAAAAGATCCAGAATGTTGTCCAAATTTACACAGCTAGCAAGTGGGGGAGCCAAGCATTGAACTCTAACAATCTGAATGATCGTAAAAGAACTCTCTGCCTGCCAAATTCTGATTTCAATGTAATTTTCAGCTCCTAGGGTCAGGGCAGTCTGGGCTCTCTCAGAATCAAGACGAGAGAATAGCAGGGGCGAGTGAAGCTTTGAGAACTAACTTCTGTGCCAGATCACTTGTACACCACTTTAAGAATTCCATGGAGAAAGCAGAATTCTTTTAAAAAATGAACTCAAAAAAGAAGGTTGTTGAAGAAGACAAAATCTTTTCTTTTCTACCCCCTTCCTTTTTTAACTGTCCAATGAAGCCACACTCATTTTCATTTCTTTTCACTTAATAAAAATAACAGCAATAATAATGGCCATTGCTTATTGAATGTGTGCCATGTGCTGGGCATTTGGCTACGGTTCTTATAGTTATTGTCTCACTTAACCCTTAATGTCCTGTGTAACATGTACTAGTATTCCCATTTCATGGATGAGAAAACCGAGGCTTTAGAGAGGTTAAGTAAAAACCCAAAGTCACTTAGCTAAAAGGTAGCAGAGCTGGAGTTTGAACCCTTCTTATATTTTCCAAATGGGAAACATATTCAGCCACTACAATGACATTATGGCATTGATAAAGGGTTCATGTTTGGGGTCCTTGGAGGAGACAGTGACACCCCCTCCCACCCCTCACTGGTAAACAAATCTGAACTACATGCTCAGACTGAACCCTGCCCTGTGAGAAGGGCCCTGACCAGCTGAACCATACCCAGGAAGAGGACCACGACAGAGAGGAGGCCCTGGGAGGGATGGATAGAGGCTCTCAGGGGCATGGTGCTGACTTCAAAAGAAAGTTAAGGATCCCTGGGGCACAGCTGGCACCAAAGGGTAGGCCACGTTCTCTGAGTCCATGCTGGACTGTCCCTCTAATTCCAGACCACAGGGCCAATTGTCAGCCTTCTGGTTATCTGTCTCTGGAGGTCCCACTGGCACCCCAGTCTCACATGCCCCATCTGAACATCCCACCTTCCTGCTCCTCCCCTGGCATCCTCATCTCAGGAGTGGCACCACCCCCAAACCATTCATCCAAGTCAGGGACCCAGAGTCATCCTCCACTCCTTCCTCTCCAATCCTCGCCGAATCGAGACATGTCTCTCCACCCCCACAGCCACCACCTCTGTCGAGGCCACCGTCCTCTTTACCTGGACTCTCTCAGTAGCCTCCTGCCCGGGATCTTCCCTCTCACCCATTTTCTACCCTGTGACCAGAGGGATCTTCCTAAAAATCCTCCTCTTAGCCTTTCTCTTCTCCCAGCCCAAAGGGCCAGCTGGAGAGAGGGGAAAGGAATAATGCTCTCAGACCTTCCAGTCCCAGGCCTTGCCCACCTCTGGCTGCCCCAGTGCTCCCTGTCCACTGGTCCTACAAGGCATCCCTCTGGTCTATTCCCTGCCTCAGGTCTTTTCCATCCACTGCGCTCAGGCTCCCTCCCTCTTCCCGTGGGTGGGATTCCAGGTGTCTCCTTTTCCAAGTAACTCCTGTTATTCCTGTTGGTGTTTTCATGGCTCATTTCCCTCTTTGGTCCTCCACACTTCTAAACAGATACTGTGAAACCAGAAGATGATGGTTGGATTTTTTGTTATATTTTGGAATAGGCTTTCAGTTCTTGGATCTAAAACATCTGAAGGTTAGAATAAGGATTCTTAATTCCTGCCTTCAGGGCAGGAATTTACAGATCTCGAATCCTTTCACATTCTTGTTCTAGGATCTTCACAAAGCTGTGGTTTAGGTAAGGCAGGGGTATCACACCTGATTCAGAAATGAGGAAACTTCAGGATTTGAACCCAGGCCCCCTAACAACACATCTGGGCTCTGCCCACTCCACTCTGTCTCTGAACTGAAGATGAACAAAAATCTATTCACTGACCAAGCAACCCATCTATGTTATTTCCTCCATGCCAGGCTGTCTATGAATTAGCTAAAACGTGCCTTTCTCCCGGTTTTCATTAATCACCAGCATCAAAGAAGACGGTTGCTGGTAACACACAGCTATCCAGCATGGCTTGCCTCAGATCTGCCCCTTAAAGCTCACCTGGTGGTTTTGGGAAGCATCTTGGAGGGGAGGTACCTCGTGCAGCCGCAGTGGGCAACCCGCTGGCAGAGGACGCTTCTCGCAATTGTTCTCCGGGTTCCTTCTGGCTTTCGGATGTCACTGCTTCTGATGAGCTGATGTTCTGCCCAGTTCTTGTCACAGCACCAAAAAACTCAGAGAAAAGGCAAACTTCCCACAAATATTTACCTAAGAAATGAAAGCAAGCAGACAGCCTGCTTCCTCATTCCAGAACACTGCTGACTGCTCAGCTCTTCCTCCCCTTCTTGTGCTGCAAATTCAGGAGTCACGCTCCTGTTTCTCCTGGGCTCCTGCTGGCCCTTTCAAGCCCCTGCTGTGAACACCACTCCCCTGAACTGTCGGAGCTTCGCCCAGCAGCCATGGCCCCTTTCGTTAGCTGTAAAAATTATTACAGGCAATAAACTAGGACCACTGGCTTCCAGATTCTCTTGTAAACAAGGCAACTGTTTGCAGGGAGCTGAGGCTGAAGACAAGCTCAGAACTAAATTGCAACCACGTGGGAGGACCCGCCAGCTTTCCACCAGGTGTTCCTATTCCCTTTCTATAAAGTAAGGATCTTTTCATCCCAAGCCATACTCTCCAGGCCCCCTGACATCTAGGGACAGACACAAACCAGGTCTCACCCATGGAGTGTGAGCCGAAGTGATATGTATCACTTCTAGGCCAAGATGACCAAGGAACAAGTGTGTCTTTCCCACCTTCCTCTTCCGCATCTGCTGGTTGGACTCTAAGGCTCTAAAGGATATGAAATCACAGGATGGAGGGCACCTGGGTCCACGAATCACCACATAGAGAAAACTGTCCTCTATACCAGCTATCCTCTCACAGACTAGTGCATGAGCAAGAAGCAAAGTTCTTTCATAATAAGCTGGTGAAGTGTGAGGCTTATTTGTTATAGCAGCTGGTGTTACCCTTACAGACACAGCACAGAATGTAGAGGACTCACAAACACCATGTGGTCCATCCTTTAAGGATAAAGCTTCATTTTGATGCAATTACCTCTTTAAATGTCCCATCTCCAAATACAGTTACATTCCAAGGTACTGGGAGTTGGGGCTTCAACATAGGAATTTGGGAGAGAGACATTGTTCAGTTCATAACACCCCTGATCAAATCAGCCATGGTGGAGTGGGAGAGGGTCATGGAAGCAGTGAACAGACACCATAATTGACAAACCGAGGCCATCTGTGTTTGCCAACCCTGACCTCTTCACTCCTGCCTGGAATGGCTTCTCTCACCTCTACTGATCTGCATTGCTCTTTTTCATTAAGTCCTGCCTCAAGCAGAATCTGCCATGAAATATCTTCTGATCACTGTGATGCAATCTTCTGTCATGGCTTGGCCTACATCCTTCTCATGTCAAGCATTTAGTTGTTAATTTAACACATACTTCTGGAGAAGTAGTCAGGTGCAGTGGTTCCAAGTGCGGATTTGAGGGCCAACTCCATCATTTGTCAGCTGTGTAACTTCAGGCAAGTTTCCTTGTTAACCTCTCTAAGCCTCAGTTTTACCTAAGATAAGCTATACCTACTTTATGGACAGTGGGCTGAAATGAGCTAATAGACAAAATACTTAGCATGGTGCCTAAGCACTCAGTGAACACTGGCTATCATTGGGAGCTGATTATGTGCCACGTACTGAGCACACACAATCACAAAGTCACAGTCCCCTCTGGGCCAGAATGGCTTGGAAGCCACAGCTAGATCTGATTCAACATGATGTCTGGGATACAGGGAAGGCCCCATACATACTTATTCTCAAAACGAAAATGATGAAAGAAAAACAAAAGGTAGAGAAAAATAGGAAGATTGAGTACAACATAACTCTTGGGCTGGATGTCTAAAAGCAAAGAAACACTGTAAATGCATTTCCTCTGAAACCAGGAAGTCCGTCTCCTTCACTGGAAGAAGCAGTTCTTGGTGCATCTTTGTCACATGATTCATAGAAAAGAATTGCAAAGGTCTCCTTCTAGGCACATGGAGATGCTATCTCTTCCAGGAGTGCCCATCCAAGGCGTGCTTCCTGGTTCCATTGATATTTTAAATTCTTGGATGATCGTGGCAATTTTTCTCATAATTTTACAATTCCTCTCTTCATACCATAATTAAGGAAGAGTCATTATTGCATCATCACCTACTGCTCTGGGGACATCAGGAAGGCAGCTACCTTAAAGTGGGAAGAAAAGCAATGACATGGGTTTTAAAATGCTTAAATTCAGGAAAATTTGGTTCACAGTAGTAAGGACTCACTTCCGAGGGGCTGCCATGCTCTGTACTTGGACCGTTTTGAAACTAGCATGATAGATTTCATTTGCCCTCTATTGGGCTTGCTCACGGTTATGCCAAACTCAAACATAGAACGCCACATTTATCTCCAGAACATTTCAGCATGTGATTTCTCTTCACCATGCTAAGCTACACAAGACTTGTTGAATAGTTCTCTTCCTATCCAATGTATATTAATTTCTTTGGGGGCATTTGAATACTCCCTGAGTTCATCTAGGTTACCGATAAAAACATTGTATAGAACGGAGTCCTCCAGCAGAGGCTTCTTTCCAGGAGTTATGCAATGGTGCTGCAGTTGGCAGTGAGGAAAGAGATTACCGACTACACCAGACCCAGGTTAGGAAGAGTTACTGTACTGAGGCCCAGGATGTAGCCGGGTTCACAGCCTGGGTGATGTCTCAGAAGGAAATTCAACAGTGTATCACAAAGGTTGTGCTTGTTTCCTGCGTGCTGTGAGCTTATCACAGGACAGCCTCTAGTTATTCTCCAGAGGTATGGTTTAATTATTAAATTTAGAAACAAAAGAACTCAGATATCTAGAAGACCTAGTGCAATTTCTTCATTAAGTTTTGTAAGGAAAATAATTCTTGGACCCTCACTAAGCTAAAGGGAAAAGTCAAGCTGGGAACTAAGTCAGGCAAACCTACTTCTCATTTTATTTCGAAATAAGATCGCTACAAAGCTTTAATTAAAAAAAAAAAAAAGCTATACACTTTCCTCATAATTTTCCCACAAGGAAATTCTTTGTGGGCCTCAAAGGTCTTTGTCCTAAAACAGTTCTGTTGAATTTCACCTTGGCTATGTAAATTGATAGCTTGTCTTCACAGGTGCAGGACAAAGGACAGGCAGGACTCAAAGTTACCCCTTTGCTCCCCTGAGACAAATGCACATCTGATTGCTCTCTCTGCCCTACTATTTATGTAAAAATGCAGATTCACTGAGCCAGACTAAGGGATAAGTGACAATTCCTCTACCCTCCTCTCACATGTAAACTGTGCATTCAGGGAAAGGCTAATCAGAGACTCAACAGATTGCAACCATTTGTCTCTCATCTACCTATGACCTGGAAGCCCCCACTTCGATTGTCTCACCATACCAGACTGAACCAATGTACATTTACATGTACTGATTGATATCGCATCTCTCCCTAAAATGCATAAAACCAACCTGTGCCCGGCCACCTTGGGCACATGTCACCAGGACCTCCTGAGGCTGTATCATAGGCGTGTCCTTGACCCTGGCAAAATAAACTTTCTAAATTGATTGAAACCTGTCTTCAATATTTTGGGTTTCACAAAGTAATATCAATGGCTTTCTGGAAGAGACATGACTTTTGACTTGGGACAATTTTTCTCTCTTTGATGAGGAATGAAACCAACCTGTATTCTGATCCTGCTCCTTCGCTGTTCTCTAACAGGTTTGCTTTCCCTCTGCTAGCAGAAAAAAAGCGAATCTTTTTAGCTGGGCATTCAGTGACCTTTGTGATCTGTCCCCAGCTAATCTTTCCAGACTATTCTAGAAAAGACTCAATTCTGGATGAGCCCACAGGAGAGCTGGGACTGACCTCTCTGGCCTATCCACCTCCCCTGTCTTCACTCATTCATTCATATCGCAAACATTTACAAAGTACCTATGTACCAAGGACTATGCTAGTCCCTGAGGATAAATGCTCTTGGGACACACCTTGTTTCTTCTTCCCAGGGAGGACAAGATCCTGGCTTCAGTACAGTATCCACCCTAGGGAGAGTTACAGGGTTTTGCAATTTCACACAGACAGAATGCAGATCACTGCACCAGAAAGCTGGCTGTGCCAAATTACCATGATGAGGCCTAGAAACAAGCAGGAGCAGAAGATCAGATTCTGCTAAGGCCATTTCTAGAGCACCAGGAGTGGGATCCATTTAAACTCAAGGCCAACCATGTACAAGAAAGAGCTCTGGGCTGAGATACCCAGAAACTTGGATGCTTGCCCCAGGTCTGCCGTGAAGAGCTGTGCAACCTTGAGTGAGTACCTTCCTATTCTGTGCTGCAGGATGGAAAATGAATATGGCCTCTAAAGACCACTTTTTACCTGACCCAATGCAGGTGTCATCTCTGAAGCTTTCCATGACCTCCCTCACCAACCCACTGCTTCAGGCATACCTCTGAACATTCAGTGACTTCTGTATGCATTTCTATTCTCTCCACATGATAGATGGCTCCTTATCCCAGCACTTTGGCTTGTAATTACTAGGAAACATGTACTGAATTGAGAAATAAGGAACATTTTTAGATCTGTAATTCCTGCATTACCCACAAGGTGGCGGTTTCCTACAGGTGGTCCCAGCACAAACCTTGTACTTGGATAGAAGCCCCATGAAGGGCCAGGTGCAGTGGCTCAAGCCTGTAATCCCAGCACTTTGGGAGGCCAAGGAGGGAAGGACTGCTTGAGTCCAGAAGTTCAAGGCTACAGTGAGCTATAATTGTACCACTGCACTCCAGCCTGTGAGACAGAAAAGGAGAACCAGAAGGACTTTCCAAAAGGCTCATCCTCTGGCCCCTGGTGGGTATGTGCTGTTCCCTTCCCCTCCACCTGTAAAGTGTCTGTCTGTCAGAAAGCAATACAGGCCTGCTCTACCGTGGCCAAGCCTGGGTTGCACTATTTCCAAGCTTCTCAGCTGGCCAGGAAAGACTGGTGGTGTGGCCCTTACAAGCCTCTCAGGCTCCCCCTCCCGTGTCTCCACTCCCCACACAGCACGCAGCTGTGCCAAGCTTGCTCCTGCTCCTGACTGTGCTGTGCTCTCTCTGGTCCTCGTGTCTTCCCACACCCTGTTCCCTCCATGTGGATTCCCCATGTCTGTTGTCCTTCCAGGCCAACACCTACTGGCTCTCTGAGATTTAGTTTAGAAAGTACTTTGTCCAGGAGCTTTCCTTGGCTCTCTTTTCCCTGAATACTCTTCAATAGTAAAATTTATTGCATTGAAATTGCTTCCCTATCTGCCCTCCCTGGGCCACCTTCTTGAGTACATAGAGCATGGCTTCCTCATCTCCTCCCCAGTGTCCAGCACAGGCCAAGTATACAGTGAGCCAAGTATACAGAGAGCTTGCCGGATGAGGAAAGAATGAGTCAATGCATCAGTGAATCTACAGATTAGGGATGTAACATGGCAAGATGAACTGAGAGCTGCACCCCTCCCCATTAGAGGGGACATTTGCGAATAAGGGAGGGGGGAAGCTACAGCAAATCCTTGAATAAAGCTGTCATGTTCAATGTGATTTTGTTATAACATTGATGAGAAAAAAAGAAATCACCTCCAGCCAGGACCACTGTCTGTGTGGAGTTTGTACATTCTCCTGGCGTCTGCGTGGGTTTTCTCCGGGTGCTCTGGTTTTCTCTAGAAACCAGAAGATGTGTGAAGATGTGCACCGGTGAGGGGAAATGGCATGTCTGCATGGTCCCAGTGTGGGTGACTGTGGGTGTGTGTGAGTGCGCCCTGAGATGGTCAGGGTCGGTTCCCGCCTCGTGCTCTGAGCTGCTGAGATAGGGTTCAGCCCCTCGCAACCCTGAGTAAATCATTATCTCATTATTAATCTTTCTTAAATGTACCTATAGTTCACATTTATATTAATGTTTATGAATAGAAGTGTTTGGGGGTCTTTATTTAGAAGGTTGGTAATGTTTTTGTAACCAGAAATACGCCATAGGAATTTAACTCTTCCTTACGTCAATCAGCCTATGGGAAAATTGGTTTTGTTATACGTCCTTCCGCTAAAAGTCACAGAACCTATCAACTAAAGGNGCTTACCTCTTGTCTGTATCAATTAGCCTATGCAAAATTGGTTTTGTTATACGTTGTCGCACTTAAAGTCAATTTCCAAGAACCTATCCACAGTGTTAAATGAGGACCTGCTGCATAATTTCATGTTGATCTGGATCAGGAAGCCATTAAATGCTCCTTAGCACAATAATGGTACATTATTATTTTGAAAGGAATAGGGCCAAGGGCATATAAAAGGGGCCAACTGCTTTCCTCCTGTGAGACTAGGCTGTGCTGCCTTCTAAGAAAGCGAATCCTCCCATTGGCAAGATGAATTCTCTTTCAATTATTTGTGAGAAAACTGGCAGCAGATATTTTACCCTCCTGGTTGGAAAGGAAATTCCAGGGGCTTCCACTTTGTGTCACAGAGCGGAAGCTAAGATTTTGCTGGTTGCCAAGTGCATCTATTCTATTTAGGAAGCAGGGAAGTAGCCACAGGCTGTGTGCTCTGTGATCTGAACTTGGGCCCTGAGCGCTGTCTGCCCTGACTTTGACTGTGGGCTATGGTGGTTCACTCTAGTAACAGTCAGAGGTCCTTCTAGGGAGGGCTTACAGGATGGTTTACAGAATACATTTGTAAAGAGTCTTTCTTTAAGGGGACCCACCCATCCTGTCAAAGAAGAGGATCTGGGTTAATCCTAGGTCTAAAAATGGGACAAGAAATTCTGGCTCTTCACTGTGGTGACTCAAATCAGCTTCTGGAAGCCAGATATAGAGTTTTCCCTGTTATATGGAGCACACAGTCTTTCAGTAGCATTCCCATCTCTTTCAGTCCTACGGACACTGTGACAACTAGCCAATGCCAAGATTCCTGTGAGTCAAAACACTGTGATGCCCACCATCCTACTGCCTGTTACAGTATATATGCCCTGCTCTGCCTTTGGCAGTTGGATGCTACCACTTGGCCTCTGCTATTCTTGGATCCCATTATCCCCAGTGGATCAAGGAGCCTATCTGAGCGGTGACATCTCTTATCTTCGTATGTGGCCAACAGAGGAGAGCCACCACTGAGTCTTCAAGGATAGCAGTGGTCCCCTCACTAATGAATTTCCCAGTGTCATAGCGAAAGGAATGTCCTCTGGACCCCCTTGGAGAATGTAGTGGGTGGGTGGGTGTGTGATTTGTCCACAACAAATCTATTCCAACATCCCCTTAAGCCTTTTTATCCTAACCCCTACAACATACCAAGGATGTTCTGGCATCTCAGTATCTTTAAATACAGGTCACCATTGAGTCCCAGTTCCACTCAAGCAGCTAAGTAAACAATAGAGCCCCTTACCCCTGCACAAATCAACACATTGAATCCAGAATCTCTGATCAGTACACCTGAATCAATAAATTTGACCTAATGCTAACTAAGTTCTATTCTGTCTTCCTTGGTCTAACACCCTAAGAATCTATTCATGCACATATTCTCCAGGTTTCTACAATGTAATGCAGCAAACTCTCGCCATTGTTTTGGTGGCAATCTTATCACAGTGTCCTTAAGCGAGGGAAAGTGAGCCTTCTTAGACATGACAGGCAAACTGCTTCCATTGGCAAAGGAAGCACAGAATGACTCAAGGGTTCAGGATTCTCAGCTTCATCTGAGTCCACCCAGATTTCCCAATTCCAAGTCTCAGGTTCTCATTCCCTAACTTCCACATAAGAGACTGGCAAGGCTGTGAATTCAACTTATAATTATGCAACACACACAATTACATTTTTTGTGTCATTTT